AGTAAGTTCCTGTGCCAAGGGACGGAACATCCCGAGATGCCTCGAAGAGGCATGCAGTGGTCGCTGGGCCGGCGCCCCAGAAACGCGCAGGGCTAGAATGCATGAGTGTTAAGCCCCACCACAGCAAGTCTGTTTTCCGAGGGGCATGGAACACATATAATTCATATGACCAAAACATGTCGCTGTTTGCCACGAGTGGATTTCATTCCAGTCGCTCGCCGCTTTTCTGCCGCACCACAAGGCCAGAGTTGGACGGTTTTGGTGGAGCTGGCTACGAGCTGGAAATGGCAGATGGAGAGGTGCGGAGCAAATGAGTCAGAACGGGTAATCCAGTGCTAGAACTGGCATAGGCGATGTGCTCATTAACACAGATGGCATATCTCTTTGTGAGGTGACTGCAACTGACGACATCGCTACTTTCGTGGCACCCTCAAGAATTGAGGAAGTCTCGTCAAAAGTGCATTCGATCACAATGGCAAGACTGACATTTGCGTGTCACAAAATTGGTGCTTGACAAACCCTGCTCAGAAGAACCCTTGTGGCAGCACCTGCCAGCAGCATCCTGCAAAAGCAACAGCACCCGGCATAGCAGCAACACGCCGTGCAACTCTCAGTCAGAAGCACCCGTCCCTGTAACTGAGTCGCTTCCCATCAGCACCCCTGAACAGCATCCTTCAACATCCTGTGCAACGAAGTCTGAGACCCTTTTGCTTTCAGCTATTTGTGCAAAATACACACTATTCACTCTGTGATTGTCAGGAACAGGCAATGACGACCAGATGAGAGCAGTACTCTCTCTTGATGAGCATATTGCCTGTACCTCGATAAAGACAGGGGTATTGGTGGATACAGCACTCGAAAGCAGCACGACTTTTAGTGCGCAATCAGCAAGGATGAATCGGAGGCCAACTCCCACGACTCCATACATGTCTCTCACACACACACAGATGCCAAGCTGCCAGCAAAAGAAACTGTGGCACGCTGAGCAAATCTGGCTGAGCCCCACGATTCTCCTTCCAAGCATTGTGTCTGCCAGAGCAGTCCTGGTGGCCAGTGGGAGCCTGGCATGTTCTCAAGGCAGGTCTGGGCCACGCCAGCTCACTCTGCCCGCGGCAACTCTGGTGTGCTCAGATCTACAGCCACGTGCACCTACCCCAAAACAACGCGATATCAGCGATAGGTTTGATAGAGGACCACATGGCGTCTTGAGACAACAGTGGGCAAAGTTCCACCCCAGTTGCAGGCACATTCGGCTTGGTACAATCCACCTCTGCACGTCCATGCTGTCGTCACGCTCATTGCAATCTTCTCTTTGTCCTCAGGTCAGTGAGTTGGAGGAGATGACCGAGGCTTTGCTTCTGACATTTGAGGCAAGGACGGAACTTCGATCTGTGGCAATCCCGCGCGGAATCATCGCAGCACATCCGCATCAGAGCAGTCTTGGGTCTGCATCTCCAGGTCATTGAATGGAATCATTTTATGCCCTTGGACCACTTGGAAGCAGGCCTACATTGACCAGGGAGAGAGCAGAAGCGCCGCAAATTTCGCCAGGGCCAGACAAGCAGGCCCGCTTTGTGCATCCATGCGCACAATCAGCACCATTCCATAATTGTGATGGAGTGCTTTTGCTGCTGGTGGTACTTCCTGTCCTGCTAGTTGCATTTTCCTGGATCTAGGTTGGCAGTTTGATGGCACCAGCAGGAAATCTGGGACAAGCGCACATGGCAAGCTTGTTGTAAGTTTTACTTTCCAGGCATTGAGTTGACATGCGGAGTTTTGGACAGATTGTATATGGGGTTTGCCCGCGGCAAGGCTTGGGGCGCGTTGCCCTGGAGATGCTCCGGAAGAACAGCCACAGCTGGTGAGAGTCTGAGAGAGGGTGGGCGCCAAATGGTTTTCGAGGTTTAGACAGGCGCTTGCGAGTCTTGCATGCTGTTTGACCGTATTTTGTGCAGGTTCGACCAAGCCAGGCTGGTGCGAAGTTGAGCTATTGCAATTCTTGGTGTGTGGGAAGAGCCAATTGGTGTTAACGATGGCCGCATCAAAGAGGTTGTCCACTTACACTCACAGGGCCCAAGCCAATGTTGAGGTCCCTAGACAGGCCGCAGTACTTGGGGTGTTTCCCTGGCTAGATCATCAGATCAACTCTTTGCAACTAAACAGTTACTTTATTGACAATCGTCACTTCTTTATCTCTTGCAACTGGACAGGTTCCCAGCTTTGCTTTGCTCCAGGAACTTCAGCCAGGAGCTCGCCTCCTTCGCCGCCGATGACCGCACACCTGGCAGCCGAGGGCACTCTCTTTGAGGCTTTCGAGTCGAAGCATGAGGTACATGCTGCACTTGGATCAACAAAGAAGCTTGCCTTTCCGTTGTATAGTGGCCCGCCCTCAGCATGTTTTGCAGGTCTGGAACACTGCAAACTGCTAAGGACGAAAAGACATACCCGTTGAAATTGTTATAAACCAAGCTTCCGAAGTCCGAGATTTAGAAGGCCAAAATTGAAAGTCAATCCGATAGCCAGACGATAGTCAACACATTAGACTCCACACATAGCACATCGCGTCTTTGACTTCCACACGCACACTGGTTTTCTTGTACGTGTTACGCATGTGGGCGTTAGCAACCTATATAGATAGCACATTTAACCACTCATAGCCTCAAAACGTCGCAAACGGAGAAGGAGGTACAAAACCGACGCCAACAGATACAAGGGCATAAGGATAACATAGAGCCGGCAAAGCCAGTGGTCGGAAGTTTTTAGAAATATAAAAGCTATAGTCGTCGTTCTCTTTCTCTTATCTTTCTCTTTCTCGCATCTCTCTCTCTCTCTCTCTTGCGCTCTCTTTGTCTCTTTCTTTCTCTCTTTCTTTCTCGTTTTCTCTCTTTCATTCTCCTCCTCCCTCTCTCTTTCTCCCTCTCTCTCTCTCGCGCTCTCTTTCTCTCTCTCCCTCTCGCGCTCTCTTTCTCTCTCTCTCTCTCTCTCGCGCTCTTTTTTTTTATTCTCTCTCTCTCTCTCTTTCTCTTTCTTTCTCTTTCTCTCTCTTTCTCTCTCTTTCGCTCGTTCTCTCTCTCTCTCTCTCTCTTTTTTTTCTCTCTCTCTCTCTCTCTCTCGCGTTCTCTCTTTCTTTCTCTGTGCGTTTATCTCTCTCTCTCTCTCTCATTCTCGTTTCTCTCTTTCTCTCTTTCTCTCTTGCTCTCTTTCTCTTTCTTTCTCTCCTTCTCTCTTTCTCCTTTTCTCTCTTTCTCTTTCTTTCTCTCTCTCTCTCTCTCTGTTTCTCACGCTCTCTCTCTCTCTCTCTTTCTCTCTCTTTTTCTCCCTCTCTATCTCTCTCTCTCTCTCTCTCTCTCTCTCTCTCTTTCTGCTTCTTTCTCTACCTGGCAAAAGTGCTGCGTCTGCCATGCAATCTGTACCCGAACTTGCAAGACTGCCGCGCCTGCCACGAAATCTGTACCTGACCTTGCAAAAGTGCCGCAGAGGGCCACTCGTTTAGCGATTTCTATTTCGGCGCCACACGCATGTTTTCTTGCATGCGTTCATTCTTTCTTCATCTTATTTGTGCGCGCCCACGTACGCTATCTTGTCGCATAGGCCATCTGATCTTCTGAAGCTATCTATCTGCGCAAGCTGCCGGTCAATTAGTTTCCGTACCACGGGAGCTTCCTTTTAAATTTCCTTTCACAAGAGTTGTCCTCGTATTTGTTCTCAGCCCACTTGGCATGGGCCACGATCTACTTACTTGATTGAAGAACAACCCAGATATTTGTCAACAGAAAATGCTCCAGGAACTTCGAAGTCAATCAAGCTTGTTTTCATGGTCCGTACTTTCCCAACACATGCCACTCCTCTCATAAACCCATGGCAATAGGAATTAAACAAGATGCCTGTCTTTCAGTATGTGTGAAGGATCTAGCCAAGTCGCCCAGAGTGTCATTGTTTGCTGCCAGACAGGGGCCACGACGAGGGCAGCTGTGCTGGTCATTTGTCCTTGCAGGAGGACAGCATCCTTAGGAAGCAGGCAAATGTGCACCAAATACTGCATGGCGTACCGGCCTGGGCATCCGAAATCCGTCTGACGAATCTGGGAGCTGAAGCGCGCCGCAGTGCAAGAGCAACGGAACGATGGCTTTGGAGATGCACAGACCGTGACTGTACATTAGTGGCGTGCGGATAGGGGCTCCGGCTTAGCCGGAAAGGCTATGGATCACCCGTTTCCCTCCAACGGAGCTCCTGGTGATTTGTGGTCATCCGGGCCTTCTCATAATTCGGCACTCTGGCTGGGTGGCAGGGCATGCGTCGTTCTAGAATTTCGGAGGAGGAGCTACAGACTGAGCCAATTCATTTCGGATTCATCTCTGGCTCCTTAGAGCTTCGGTACTGATCGCATTGCTGCGTAGCTTTTGCAGTCGGCCGATACGCATTCTGTAGCGGACATGCACTACTCTTCCCAAAAAATAAAAATGCTGTGCTGAAATTCTAGAGTCCTCGCACGATACTTGGAGCATTTATGCCTTGCCAATACCCAGGGCAACTTCTGCTGAATTGGGCAGAGGAATCTTACTTTGCCCTGCGGCTGTGCTTCTTCCTGCGCAGTCAAGACGGATTCAACATATCACTAAGCATTGGTCAAGTAGTTGCGTTTGAGTGGACATGCAGGATGCAAAAGCAAGGCTGCCATGCGGCGCGGCTGTTTTAGAGGTTCCCAGAGCCAAGCAAAAGGAGCCACAGTGGGGGAAACAAGTCACTGACTCAACCGTATTGCAGCTTTCCCTTCGAGCTACCCTCTCTCCCTGCTTTTTTCTGTAAACGAACAAAAACAGATTTAGCACTGGGACGCCTTTGGGGCGAAGCCGTGAAGCATGGCTCTCCAATGTTTGAATCAGTATTCTCCACAGCACCCCTGCTACGCTCAGCGATTCATCGCCCTCGGTGAAAAGTTCTGATCTCCCCGCAGCGCAGAGAGCCAAAGTTGAGTTGTGCAAAGGTTTTGTGTTGCTCAG